AGGAGGCGGGGCGGGGGCGGAGTCTGTCCCTCGTTCCCATAGCGATGTGGACATGGACATCGATGTGGGGCCAGGGCTGAGACGGTTACATCACAGCGCCTCGTCCTCGGCATCCAGCAGCTCGGCACAGTAAAATATACATAATTTTAATCATTTACATAATCATAATAATATACACACTGCCGTTCAACAGTTTGGGATCAGTTCGATTTTTTATGTTTTTTTTTAAAGACATTTCTTCTGCTCATCAAGGCTGCATTTATTTGATTAAAAATGCAGGGGGAAAAAACACTAATATTGTGAAATATTATTACAATTTAAAATAATGGTTTTCTATTTAATATACTGTATAATATAATTAATTCATATGATGCAAAGCTGAATTCTCATCATTCATTACTTCAGTGTCACATGATCCTTCAGAAATCATTCTGGTTTATTAACAATATGCTGATTTTTTGGAAACAGTTTTTGCTGCTTAATATTTTTCTTTGGAACCTGTGATATTTTTTTCAAGATTCTTTGATGAATAAAAAGTTAAAAAAAGAACAGCATTCATTCAAAATAGAAATATTTTCTAACAATATAAGTCTTTACTATTGCTTTTTATTAATTGAACACATCTTTGCTGAAAAAACATACATTTCTTTCAAAAAACGACCCCAAATATTTGAATGGTATATTATTACAAAATAATTTTTTTAAATAAATGCTGTTCTTTTTTACATTTTATTCATCAAAGAATCCTTTAAAAAAAGTATCACAGGTTTAAAAAAATATTAAGCAGCACAACAGTTTCCAGCACTGATAATAATCAGCATATTAGAATGATTTCTAATAATGTCATGTGACACTGAAGACTGGAGTAATGAGTAACTGGATTAAATTCAGCTTTGATCACAGAAATAAATTGTTTTTTAAAGTATATTCAAGTAGTAAACCATTATTTTAAATTGAAATAATATTTCATAATATTACCATTTTTGTTTTGTATTCTTGATCAAATAAATCTTTGAAAAACATTAAAAATCTATGTGTGTGTGTGTATATATGTAAAATGCTATATTGATTTGTAGTGTAATGTGTTCTTGTGTAACTGTTATTTCAGATCGCTGGAGAACCCGACGCCGCCGCACACGCCTCGCTCTCAGCGCAGGTGACGCAGCGCAGCTCTCTCTATGGTTTGTCTCTGTTCGTCGTCTCACTCTCTGCTGTGCGTCTGCAGGCTGCTGGACGCTCTGTTACCGGATGCTCCGGCTCTGGACGAGGACCTGATCGACTCGCAGAACTGGCAGGAGACGGTGGAGCCACATGTACTGACCTCACTCTCCTCACGAGAGATCGACCGGCAGGCCGTCATCTACGGTGCACACAGCAGATCTATACAGGTGGAGCTGGGGAAGGTGAAGGGTTTCTGAAGCAAGCTGAAACTGCTACAGCAAGCACTAGTCATATATTTAAATGTTGAGCAGCGAGCTCATTGGCTACCGATACAGGAGAGAACCAATCAGCTGTGCCATGTGATGATGTTGTCATTAGGTCAGATTGAGTTCGACCTATTGGACTGCGCCATCTAGAGTTTCATGCCAGAACTCTGTATTTCATGCCACTCTTGCCTGACCAATTCAATTCAGTTACACTTTGTTGGAATTTCTTCCCAAATCTGTCTTGCATCTCAAAGCGTGTCTCACATCAATTCACATCAATACACTTACACCAATTTAAACGAACAAACAAAAGGCAGGCCATTTGGAAACCCGTTTGAAAACAGTCATTTTGCGGTTACATTATTAGCTGTTTGCGGTGCAGAAATTAGACATTTCCATTTATACATCCATTTCATCCGCTTTAAAGGGAATATCCCAGTTTTGATACAACTTAAGCTTTTATTTTTACTGCATCTGTGACATGATGTCAGTTACCATAGACAGTAATTTTAACTAATTTTAGGCACTCATAATGGGAAATTATTGTAAGCATCACAACACGCACTGCTTTTAAAGTATGTAAACTTGACATTGACATGAGACTAATGTGATAAAATCACTAGAAACACTCAGATTTAATTTGTTAACATTAGTTAACTACATTAGGTAACATGAACTAACAATGAAACATTCTTCTAAAGCATTTATTAGTCTTGGCTAATGTTAATTTGTAATATTTACTAGTACGCTATTCAAAACAAAAGTTGAATCTGTTAATATTATTTAATGCCACTGAGCTAACATAAACGAACAATGCACAGATGTATTTTTGTTGACTTACACTAACAAAGATATTGTAACAATGTATCTCATTGTTATTTGATATTAGTTAATGCATTAACTGGCGTTAAACAATGGGACCTTACTGTGAAGTGTTACCAAATCACTAACAATATCCAAAATGTCATGATGCATTGAAAGATGAGAAAATTATTTTACTTGGAGAAAAATCTGAACATCTAATAAATGTTTTGTTCAGATCTGAACAAACCTGAAAATCAAAATGGATCAAAAAGACACATTTAGCTCAAATACAACACTTCTTGTTCAGGAAGAATTCATTAAATGCGTTAACAAAAACCAGAGCAACTTTTATTTTAATTCCTTTTAAAAATTGAGGAAAATACATCAACATTGTTTGATTTGGTAATGCTTTGTTTTGGATAAGCACATTTATTCTGCTTTAACTCTGCTTTTAAAACTTTTCCATTTGTGTTTTAAAGGCATTACTGAAACTTTTTTATTTTATTTGTATTCTTTTTGTGTTTTATTATTATTATTATTATTTTTAATTCAGGAATACATCCAAATTGTTTTCTTTGGTAATAGACATCATGCTACAGAACTAAACCGAGCCTTGTATTTTTTTATTAGAATATTATTATGAATTAATGTAATTGATTTTATTTATTTAATATAACTTTTATTTTACAATTTGTTAAGCCTGTGTTCAGCATCATTTTACGATTGTACATTTGAAAGGCATTCAGCAGAAGCACTTCTAAATCAGTGCTTCACGTGAATATTTACCCATTATGTTAAGCAAAATAATCACCAAACAGACAGACAACAGTTTAATACACTGACTGTGTGCCTGTCACATGCTGAACATCTTTAATAAATGATATTAAGCGTGTAAATATGTCAGTGAGAATGTTAACTGGTTGTTTATAGTGAAATTTCAGTACTTGACTTCCTCAAATTAATAAGCAGCCCAGAGTGAAGCATAAACTGTGTGAACCCAGAGAGAGCCCAGGGATGTTTTTGACTCAGATGGGAATATTGTCAGGCGTCTGTCAGCTCTGTGACGAGCAGCGTTTCTCCTCCGGCGGGAGAAGTGAGCCTCCTGACAGCCCCAGACAAGCCTGTCTCCTCATTCGGTTTGTGTTTTAAGATGAAAACTATACCAGTCAAAGTCGTTAATGATCTCAGATAGCCTCAAGCCTCAGACTTCAGCGTGTTTGTGGGTGAAATGGAAGAACGTGAGCAGTTTGAGGAAAGTGTGAGCTAAATCTAAGGCTGTTTTGAGACAGTGTGACCAGAGTGAAATTACAGTCAGACCCTTAAAGGATTCACCGTTTGGTGTGTTTTATGTGGAACCTACTTAGAAATCCTAAAATATTGCAGCAGAATCAGTCCATCGTTGTAATTTATTTTTATAGCTATACTAGCTGTGTTTCCATCAACATATTGTTTATACAAATATTGGGACGTTGCACATGTGCATAAAATCTTAAAATGTGCATTACAAATTATATTTTTTATCCTGTCTCACCAGAGTGGTTTTTGGAAACGGTGCTTTATTAGCGGACGTTTTATGATTTTTATTTATTTATTTCAGTGCCGTCAAACGATTAATCGCGATTAATCGCATCCAAAATAAGAGTTTTTGTTTACATAATATATGTGTGTGTGCTGTGTTTATTTATTATGTATATATAAATACACACACATGCATGTATACATTTCAGAGAAATATGTTATTTTTATATATTAAATGTATTTATTTGTAATATAAATTATATGTATATATATATACATGTAAATATTCTCTAAATATATACTGAATGTGTGTGTATTTATATATACATAATAAATATACACAGTACACACACATATATTATGCAAACAAAAACTCTTATTTTGGATGCGATTAATCGCGATTAATTGTTTGACGGCACTATATATTTTTTTTTTTTGCATTTTTTTTTTTAATTCACAACTTTTTAATGCAATATTGCAATTTTTCATACAAGTGAAATTCTCGTCTTTGCTTTATGCAGTATTTTTTCCACAAGGTAAATCGTGCAACTTTGTTTTATGTGATATTACAATATTTCACAGAAGTTAAATTTGCAACTTTGGATGGCTACTACTGTCTTGTCCTAACCTCACAATACTCTAAAGTTGAAGACAGTATATTGCAAATAGCAAGATTGTACAGATACATATCTCGGTCTTGTCTTTTCCGTTAGCCTACACATAAACATTTTGAGTTGCAATTGTGCTTTTGTTGTTTATATCCTTATATTTTCATAAATAAAGCGATGCAAACCTTTAGAGTGTGTGTATAGTTTAGTAGTAGTATTTTAGCTTGCTCTGATGCTCTGATGTTGGTCTGCAGAGCTGTTCACCACGGAGGCGTCTCACCTGCGCACGCTGCGGGTTCTGGATCAGGTGTTTTATCAGAAGATGCAGAGCGTCCTCAGTCCAGAAGAGCTGGCCTGCATCTTCCTGAACCTGTCTCACGTCTACGAGCTACACGGTCAGAAGTCAAGCATTTCTACCTCTGCTTTGGCAGTATATGAGCAGCTCTACTCCTGTAAGATGTATAGTAATAATAAGACGTGACTTGGAAACTTGGTTTGTGTAACAAGCTGTTTCACTATAAAGCAGAATATGAACTTTGGATGCAATCTGTTTAAAAGTGTGCATAATGCACACCTAATGCATAAATGTGTTGCATAAGTACTCGTGTTGTTTTTCTATCCCAGCGAGCCTATGTGAGGCCATGAAGAAGCGCAGGCAATCGCCGATCGTTCAGGGCATCGGAGACATCATGCTGGCCAGAGTGAGTGTCTCGCTCCTCTCCGGTCTTTCACTTTTTAAGCTAAAAGAATAGTTCAATCAAAAATAAAATGCTGGAAATGTGCTCACTCTCAGACCATCCAAGATTAGGATGAGTTTGTTTCTTCATCAGATTTGGAGAAATGCAGGATTGCATGACTTTGCTCACCAGTGGATGTGAATGGGTGCCGTCAGAATGAGAGTCCAAACAGCTGATAAAAACATCACAGTAATCCACAAGTCATCCACACCACTCCAGTCCATCAGTTAACATCTGGAGAAGACAAAAGATGCATATTTGTAAGAAACCGCTCCATCAATAAGTCACTTTAACGTCAAACCATTGATTCCAGCTAAAACACGAGTCCATAATCCATAATAACGCTTGGCTAACAAGCCAAAACAGCTCTAAACCAATATGTGTGTGGATTTTGATCGAAGAGGACAACACTGGATGGACTTTTTCACTGGAGGAAGCGTTATTATAGATTATGGATTCATATTTTAGCCGGAAGTTGAAGTTAAAAATGTTGTAATGATGGATTTGTTTCTTACAAACACATAGTTGTTGTCTTCACAAGACATTAACTGATGGACTGGAGTGGTGTGGATTACTTGTGGATTACTGTGATGTTTTTATCAGCTGTTTGGACTCTCATTCTGACGGCACCCATTCACATCCATTGGTGAGCAAGTCATGCAATGCTACATTTCTCCAAATCTGATGAAGAAACAAACTCATCTACATCTTGGATGACCCGAGGGGGAGGAAAGTGTCAGCAAATTTTCGTTTTTGGGTGAACTATTCCTTTAAAACGAATGCTTTACATTAAAACGAATGTGCTGTAGTTTGAGGGAGATCCTGGAGATCAGTTCGAGGAGCAGGTGTCTCATCTGTGCAGTCAGCAGAGTCAAGCGCTGGAGCTCATCAAGAGCAAACAGCGCAAAGACCCTCGCTTCGCTCACCTCATCCAGGTAAGGCATGCATCAGTGCTTTCCCAGATCATCCACGAATCGTACGAGTGTGTGTTGATGCGGTGTGCTGTCTGTCAGGAGTGTGAGGCCAGTCCTCACTGCCGCAGGTTACAGCTGAAGGATCTGCTGCTGGCTGAGATGCAGCGCTTGACTAAATACCCTCTGCTGCTGGACAACATCATCAAACACACAGAGAGTGAGTGAACGCACACTAATCATCATAACGAGACGCTGCGTTCAGGATTTGCACTGGTTGATCATATGTGTGACCCTGGACCACAAAACCAGTCATAAGGGTCCGTTTTTCAAAATTGAGATTTATACATCATCTGAAAGCTGAATAAATAAGCTTTCCATTGATGTATGGTTTGTTAGGATCGGACAATATTTGGCCGAGATACAACTATTTGAAAATCTGGAATCTGAGGGTGCAAAAAAATCTAAATATTGAGAAAATCATCTTTAAAGTTGTTCAAATGAAGTTCTTAGCAATGCATATTACTAATCAAAAATTAAGTTTTGATATATTTATGGTAGGAAATTTACAAAATATCTTCATGGAACATGATCTTTACTTAATATCCTAATGATTTTTGGCATAAAAGAAAAATGGATAATTTTGACCCATACAGTGTATTGTTGGCTATTGCTACAAATATACCCCAGCGACTTAAGACTGCTTTTGTGCTCCAGGGTCACATATGTGCAAAACTAAAAATCTTAATTTTTGTGATCTATTAAAACTCTAACCTATTGCATTTTGTAAATTTTGCCGATTTAAATAAATCTCCAAGGTGAAGTTATAAGTTATCAGTAAAGGATGACTGTGATGATGATAATCGGTTATAATTGGTGCTATTATATACAATGTAATTATTGTTAATAATGTGATTATTTTTACATGACTATAGGTTATTACCAATACCAAACATTAGGGGTCATGAAGTATTTTTAAAGATTTCAATTTCAAGCAAATGCTGTTCTTGTGAACTTTCTATTTATCAAAAAATCCTAAAAAATAAAATGTATCACAGTTTCCACAAAAATATGAAGCAGCACAACTGTTTTCAACATTGATAATAATCAGAAATGTTTCTCGAGCAGCAAATCAGCATATTAGAATGATTTCTGAAGATCATGTGACACTGAAGACTGGAGTAATGATGCTGAAAATACAGCTTTTTCACAGATTTTAACATACTGTATATCCACATATATATGAGAACAGTTCTGTTAAACTGTAATAATATTTGTGTGCAGCGGCGTCTCCTGACCTGCAGCTGCTTCAGAGAGCTCAGGCCCGTTGCCGCGGGATACTGCAGGCTGTTAATGAGGTCGTCAGGGAGACGGAGCACCGGCATCGGCTCGGCCAATACCAGCGCAGGCTGGACCTGACGCCTGTGGAGCGGCTGGCCAATCCCGTCGCAGCGCAGTTCAAGGTGCGAGCCGTCCCGTACGCCTCATTAGTGCCGCTAGCATCGCTCTTCATGCTGTCTGCTTCCTCTCTCACAGAACCTGGATCTCACCACTAAGAGGATGATCCACGAGGCGCCGCTCACCTGGAAAGTCAGCAAAGACAAAGCCATCGGTAAAGAGGTTTAATGCAGATGGGCAAATCAGAACTGAATCAAAATTAAACTAACTAAATATGACCATAGTAACCATAGTGTCGGCTAAAATACATCACTTAATATTGGTACTTTTGCTGCAGTAAAATGTGGTAATGCACATTTTTGTAAAGGCAGCTTCTTTCCTGTGTTGACTTTAAATGTACAGTTTATTTATAAAAAGATATTATTCAGGGCTGCAGTGTTGCGATAGTAATATATTTCTTTATTGATTTGCTTACTTTTTAATATTTAAATAAGAGTAAAAATTTTTTTTAATATTTGTTAGGGTTAGTTATTTTTTGTTTCTTTTGCCCTTTGCAGATCACATGCCTGATTATTATATTCTTATATGAAATATATTGTATTATATTAAAATAGCTTATTTTGCACACTAGCACCAATGTTACTTCAGTATAATTGAGATACTAATATATTTTTTAAATTTGTATTTTGATTTATATAAAATAGTAATAATTATAGATAGATAGATAGATAGATATTATTATTATTATTAAAATCTGTAATTTTTTATTAATATATAATAATTAATAATATCACAATTAATTTTTATTAGTGCTGTCAAACGATTAATCGCATCCAAAATAAAAGTTTTTGTTTGCATAATAATTACGGAGATATGGCCGTTCAAAGTTTCTATGGATTTCCATAGACTTAAGCTTTAAAGCGTTTCATCCAGGTCGCCAGTAGCAAACAATGGAGAACAAAAACGTTTATTTTGGATGCGATTAATCGTTTGACAGCATTAGTTTTTATTAATAACATTTTAAATTTAGTTATTTTAATGCATGACGTTAAACTAAATTAAATTAAATGAGAAAGGTTGCCTTGAAATGACTGAAATCAAATACGTTTAAGTTGTTTTGTGTTATATTTTATTACTTTTATTTATTTATTTATTTATTGTTTTAGTTCATGTTTTCGTATGGTTCTAGTTAACTGTGATAACCCTGACTAGCACATAGATGAGCTGTGAGTCTGTGATTGTGTTGTGGTCACTGGTTCGTGTGAATGTCTCAGAGGTGCAGGCGCTGCTGCTCTCAGATCTGCTGGTGCTTCTGCAGAGGGGTGCAGACGAGCGGCTCGTCCTGCGCTGTCCGTCACGCTCGCTGGGCGGAGCTCCAGACCTCAAGACCCCCTTCTGCCCAATCCTGCGCCTCGACTCCGCCCTCGTCCGCTCGGTCGCCACAGGTCAGACTTCAAACGCCATGCATCTCTACACATCTATCCTTTATTTGGCCAGGAATTATCCCATTGAGATATACATCTCTTCTAGCAGGGAGTCCTGGCCAAAACGGCAGCACACATAAAACAAGAAAAATAATAAAGAATAAAATCGTATCCAACATCATATAAAAAGAATGACATAAAACATTCACATGTTTCTTCCCTGTAGAAAAGCTTTCTAAAAATATTTAGAGATGGAAGTGCTTCTAACATGATAACACTCTGCATTTCTTTCCATAACCGAGGACCGTATGAGGAAAAGGCCATACTGTAGGAACAGTCAAATGTTATTTAGAAAAATTTCTAGTCCTACGAATATCCCCCAGCGACTTAAGACTGCTTTTGTGCTGCAGGGTTACAAATGATAAGAGATTACAAATGTAAATAATGCCTTGGCAATAAATAGTAGCATATGCATTTTTCTCCTTTGGTACAAGACGGACCAACCAATTTGTGTAATGATGCATTCGTCACAAATCGTATTGCAGCATGATATATACAATACAACTTCTTTAGCAAGGATACGTTTGCATGCATATAAACCACATCACCATAGTCCAACACTGAGAGGAAGCAGCTTCAGATAATTCTCTTTTTTTGCTTCAAAAGGAAAGCATTTCTTTATACGAAAGAGAAAACCCAATTTAGGTCGGAGCTTTTTTAAATGATTTTCAATATGATACATATATATTCATACATATACGTTTATTGAGCATACTTTAACCCTCTGGGCTTATATTTGTACATAGTATGAGATGACACTTAGTGACTTTTGTTGCGTGTAGCAGGAAATGAATGGAAAATACTAAAAAAATACAACTCAGAGAATCTTTTGGTGGTACAAACTACAAATCAGCCACAGTGCAGAAAAAAGTGCACAG